ATACATTCTAGTAAAAACAGGGGGGTGCCTTAGGACCTTAGCCTGGAATTCTAATCATAACTCCCCCCTGCCCTGCCCTGCCCCCAAATTATCACATGATCTTGGGAGTTTCCAGGATATATATATACACACACACCTATATATATACATGCATACATGATGTGAATGTATATATGTGTATATGAATTAGAAGGGTTAACTGAAGGCAGGACTCCATGGTACAGCTTCCTGAGGCCCCCACTCACTAGGCCCTTTGAGTGATGAAGCTGTTTTTAAATCACCAAGCTCCTGTCAGTAACCTCTCACTTGTGTTCTTATTATAAATGAACCAGTAAACTCACTGGTTCACTAAGTTGGACTAGAGTGCAGTCATTACATTGATCTGTCACAGGTGTCCTATTTTTTTCACATGTTCCCCACATTTCCCCCAGGAAAGTTAACGTGACAACATTTAAATGAAAGCATGCAGCATTTCTGCATTTGTCCTTTACTCCCTGACATATTCCATTTAAGATCCAAAACCACCAAACCTCCAAGTTATAAGAAATGGTAGAGTTTTATTTCATGGCTGGGTAATATTTTACTCTGAATATCACATTCATATCTTGTAAATAGGGCTGTAATAAACATGGCATTGGCACAAGATCTTTCCAGTCCTAAGTAAAGTGAGAGAATGAGATAAGAATGGCTTTTATTAAATACTTACTATGCACCAGATACTGTGCTATTTAAGTGGATTTATTCATCTACACCTCATAGCAGCCCCATGGGCTTGGAGGTATTTTTAATCCCTGCCAAAGATATAAGGCAATGGACTCTGGGGAAATGCTGAGCCTCCGCACTGTGATAGCCATGTAACCGCAGACAGGTGACAACTTCCAGAGTTAACTTACTTCCCACAGAATCATGTTCCATCCTCATAGAGAAGGCTATCCAGAAGCAGTCAAAGGAATCCAAATAGTAGCAAGTCTGCATTTGGACCTGGCTCTGCCTCACTCCAGCAGGGTGACTTACATGCAATTGTGTGATCTCACTGACTGTGGAGACCCTACTGGTCCAAGGATGACCTCTTGATGCTCTTGAGGGTGAGGATGAAATGGGGAGTGCATAGGAAGACCCTAGAACAGTCCCTGGCTCAGGGAGAACAAACAAATCAGTGTCCCCAGTTACACAGGCGCAGTGCTTCAGTACAATGACATTCCCATCTCAACAGGATCCTTCCCCTACCCTCCCCCCCACCACAGAACAACAGGTTCACATGAAACCAGAGCCCTAATGGAATGATGCAGAAGGATGTCATGAGGCAGAACCAGGAGGTGGCCAAGGGAAGCTGGGAAGAGCTCTTTTTTCCTCTCTTGGCAAGATGACTGACATTTGTTGGCTGGGGTGAAGTGCCCAGAGACCCAGTTCCATTACCCTCTTTCTTGTCAGTTGAGCCAGTGAAACCTAGTCCATATAGAAAGACTAGGGTTTTTGTTTTGTTTTGTTTTTTTGGTTTTTTTTAGATTTATTTAATGTGTATGAATGTTGCCTGCCTGCCTATATATATGGTGCCTGTGGAGGTCAGAAGAAAGTGTCAGATCATCATAAGTGAGTCATCATGTGGGTGCTGGGAGTTGAACTTGGGTCCTCTGCAAGAATGAGTGTTCTTAACTGCTGAGCCATCTCTCCATCCCCAAGTCTAACTTCTTAAAAGAAGGGAAATGGAAATAAAGGCAAAATATAGTTCCTAATTTGTCAATTAGTCTCCCCCACCTTCTGCCCCTCTCTCTGCTTTCTTATAGAACCCAATCTATGCCTCAATGCCAATTGTCTTCCAGACCTGGGAAATACCAGGACATTCTGGAATTTACAATCAAAATAATAAAAAGGAACTGGATCTGTCTTGTTGATATTGGTGTTGTGATCGCTCAGAGAAAGAAAGATTGCTGCCGTAGATAACAAAGCCTGTGCCACAACCAGCAAGGCTGGAATCATAGTGCAGCAAGAATCTCAATGTGCTTCTGGGCCGGTGTCAGAGCACTTGCATGACTTAAACAAATCAACATAAAGAAGAATCCCAACGTGGAATGTTGCAGGCCTTGTGAAATTTCACGTGAAAACCTTCTACTTCTCTCCAGAAACTTTAGAACACACCTCCTCAACTCTATGCCAAAATGAAGGTTGGAGGGTCAACCCAAACGTCAGGGTCATACCATGGGCCTTCAGGAAGCTAGCCTCTATGCCAGCAGGTTCCCCATCCTCTTATGCAGCCCTGTTCCTTCAGCCTGCTCCTTGGCAGAGGTGTGCTCACAGCCAGAAACTTTTGGGTGATAGTTAGAAGAGCAAGCAAAGGCAGAGAGGCAGTTTGTCTCCCTGAAAGGCCTGCAAGAGATGGCCCCTGGCCACTGGGGGTGGGGATACTTAGTCATCGTCAAGGCCAACCTCCCTGCCGGTGCCTGCCAGGCTAGTGGCATAAATACCAGGTCTCTGGTTTCGCCCCAGCCCATTGGCAAACCACTACCTCAGGTCTGCTTCCTCGGTATGCCAAGCTCTGTTTCTTCTCCTTTTGTCTCCTGTCCCCACTCTGCTTTTCCTTCTTCTCTTTGAGCCCTGCTGGCCTTCTCTACTGTAGACTCTCTGGCTGTGTCTAGGTAGAGACAGGGGTCTCCCAGGCAGCCAAAGCGGGAAGCAATGAGAGTCTTCCAAGTGATCCATAGGAAGCCCTGGTGTCTTCATAATGGGAGAAGGGGGCAGCAAAGACAAGTGTGCTACAGAGAGGACAGAGGTGCCTGTGGTTTCCAAGAGTCCTCCTGGGGAAAAGGTGACAATACTGTCTCACAAGTTGAACTGGTATTCTTCGTATGCCCTTCGTCCCCTGGAGGTAGGCCTGGTGCTAGATGGCTGCATCATCTTCGGATCTGGCAGGATCCTGCTATTCTACACAGGCCCTTCTGGGCTTGTTTCTGGATGGGCCTTTCCTCTGCAGTTGTTGAACTTTATCTGTGCCATCCTCTCCACTCTGGTCCTCAGTGCTGGAACAATGGAAGGATTCATTAGTTGGCTGGGCCTTTGGTGTCCATTGACGAGAGTCCCTTTGTGCCCAACTTCCCACTGTGAGATAGCCACCATTCAGTCTCAGGAATGACAAAACACTCCCCAAGCAGATAAGGGAGTATGGAGTAGATTCTGGGTCAGTTCAAGACCTGGCAACATCTCCACAGTGTGTGTGGTGGTAATGATGGTGTGGGGGGAAAACTAGGGATGATTCAGAATTCCTTTACAGTGGATGACAATCTAGTCTTCCAATTCACCCATATAAGAAAAGTCACAAGCCAGGCCATGGTGGTGCACGCCTTTAATCCCAGCACTGAGGAGGCAGAGGCAGATGGATCTCTGTGAGTTCGAGGCCACCGTGGTCTACAGAGCAAATTCCAAGACAGACTCCAAAGCAATACAGAGAAACCCTGTCTCGAAAACAAAACAAAACAAACATACCAAACAAACAAACAAAAAACGGCTGGAGAAATGGCTCAGAGGCCAAGAATACTGGCTGCTCTTCCAGAGGTCCTTAGTTCAGTTCCCAGCAGCCACATGGTGGCTTACAACCATCCATCAAGGTCTGGTGCCCTCTTCTGGCCTGCAGGAATATATGCAGGTAGAATACTGTATACATAATTTTAAAATTTTTTTAAAAAGAAACATCACAAAGATACATCACCTATCTAATCTACCTACTTCACTATCTTCCTATTTATCTACCTACCTACTGATTGATCAATCTATTGATCTATCTATCTATCTATCTATCTATCTATCTATCTATCTTCTATTTGTCTATTGTCTACCTCCAAAGCTGAGAAAAGAACCCAGACTCTCACACATGCTAGCAAGAGTCAACTCTAATGCCTAGTTTATACCCCCATCCACACTAATCTAATTTCTACTCCAAGACCCCCACCTGCCAGAAGAGCTCATGTCATTATTACCAAGGCCTTTTTCTCTTCCCTCCCTGCTAGGCACTCCCAGAATCCGATAGTCCAAAAAGATAAGCAATAAAGCTCAATCTATGCACATCCCTCACTTTCCCAAACCCATCAATACACTGGCCTCATATCATGTAGAATCCCCAAGGTCCTCCCAGGTCACCTCTGTAGTGGATGGCTGTCCAAGGGTGGGCACAGCAGCACCTTTCTCCCAGCTGAGGTTCTGAGGATTGGTTCTCTCAAAATGCACTTCCCACTCAACAACACACATGGAAATAAG